TTCACATCGTGAGTCCCCGATCTAGATATGGCTAGCTTTGTTTGAAATGCAGCGATGGACAACGCCGCTGACACCTGAACCAAAACTAAACACCAAAATCTTGATCATATTCTCAAACCCTATCCAACTTATACACTGCAAACTCCTCCACGATGTCCCACATCGCTGTGCTGAAGCTTTTGTGAGGAGGCAGGTAGTATCAAGCTATAAATGCCTGATCGTGATTGGCGGACAATTTCGCCAAAACAGGGAATGATTTTTGTTTCTTAGCCTGCACGTGAAATCCGTCCAACCAAAGTGATATTCGATTACTGAGACCGCCTGACCTCCGGACATATCAACACAAAAAGCATCAGCCTGGCGAACTGAAAAGTCGCGACATCGAAACTTGACTTGTCACGATACGTTGACCAAAGGTGCTCAATGAATATATGGTGGTCAATGGAACGCCAACTAATGAAACGATCCTTACCGATCTTTTGGTAGAAGGTTGAAATTCGAAGGAAATATAAAAAACCTAGAGTAAAAATTTGTTGTCCATCAAACGAAGACATGAGATTATTCAACGCCCACAGGCAATCAGAATTAGTTTGTCAATGTTGGACATGCTTTGTGCTGCTTACCTCATATAGAACGACGCTCAGTTAAATCACTCCTGCGAACAGAGGAGTTGCGACATGAACAACAATGTAACTTGTGCAACATATCAGTCGGATGCTTCTTCCAATATAGCTCACCTTATTCCAGGACGGTCTTTAATTCAGACAGGAGTTTGGAATCCGATGCCATTTCCCGCTAGTTAGTTGCTAAACCTATTACGTTCTCAAAAGATGTAGTGTTTTTGGCATTTTGTATAAGTCGCAACTAACTGACACATTGTACCCAAAAATTAACTATCTGAAACGAAACCACTCTCATACTGTTTGAATAGCAGTACTGTGTAATATCTAGAGTTTCTCGTAATGCGCTGTTTGCTGCACAGCATACAACTATTCTTCCACACATTTATCTGAATACTATGCGCTGCAAGCCAACTACAGGTGTAACGGTGGTACTACTGATGGGGGAGGCACGCGAGTAGTATGTTTTGCAAATTCGCTTTGCGTCTCTTGAAACATGTGATCTATTGCGAAATTTGTGGAGTTCCTTTGTAGCATTTGTTTGGATTTGGACAACAATCAATGAACATCCAGGAAAGCTCAGAAAGACGCAGTCAAAGGAAGATTGCTATTCAGTTTTTGTAAACAAGATGCATATGAGAGTTTTGCTTCCCCGTCCAATAGTCTGTAACTGTTCAGTTGACATTTTCTAATAAATAGCTCCGCAGCGAAGGCCTTCTTCCTTCCACAGGTAGCAAGATTAAATCAGCTTTGACTATGACCAAACGGGCTTCCATGACTAACGGGGTGAATCCGTTTGGGATGATATAGTACACGTTTGGGTGTTGGAATATAAAGATAAATCTTCCGAAAATTCCCATTCACAATAAGAACACAGATGGGTTGACAAACATGTTTTCGGCAAGGTCTTTTCAAGTCATACAGTGGCAAAGGTTAAGAGAGCAGTATTTATCCTATTTGAATTAGCATGGTGTACATGAACAGGAAATCGAGTGCGGGACGACATTACCTATCTATCGAAGAACAACTAGTTCAGGTCACCAGTAGGGTGACTTGAGTTTGTCAGCGCGGACAGTGTACCGTGTTTGTGTGTTCAGTGCAGGGTGAAAGTGTGGGGGGGGGGAGATGAGTTGGACCATGGCAAATACAACACAGGAACGAGGCATTTTTGCCGACATAGGATCGGGTCGCGATGCCGTATGGCGATAGCTCCAGTCACTGTGATTGTGCGTTGTTGTACTGATCTGGGTTGATCAGCTGGCGCCTTGTAAACAATGCGGAAGCTTCGGCCGGGTATCACCCTGTGCGTCGTGTCTGCTAGATATTGTGCTACTCAGCTGGTTATCATCCTCCTAGTTCCAGAAGCTAGCCAGGAAAGATTGTATTCCTTCATTCTTTGGCTGAGTTGTTTAGTCATGCGTCTGATGCATTCCACTGCACAGCAGTGAGAGAATGAGTACACTAACACATTTTGGGAGTGGACAAGCACTCTATCTTTGAGATCGAGGGGGGCACGGATGATTGCTTGTGCTTGTCGTGATGAACAAAACTGATTATATACGAAAAATGACGGACACACTAGCTGACACAATCAAGTTTAGTCAGACAGCCAACGCTCATAATAGAACAACTAATGGCGACATGCATGAAACGGTTTGGTCCCTGAGACAACCTACGATAAAGTCAAACCCACAGAGTCAACAACGCCTCGCCTATACAGCTTGCCGAAAATCCATAAACCTAACTGCCCTGTGGGGCTGATCCTAGACATGCACAACTCGCCCTATCATCAGATCTCACAGCGGCTCATCAAATTCTTGAACCAATACGACGACAAATGGATCAATACGGCTTGCGGGATACATCTCGATTCGTGAACTCAATAAAGTACCTAGAACTGAAAAATTGGTTCATGTGTCCATTGGACGTGATTTCACAGTCCACCAACTTCCCCTTAACTGAAACGGTTAATTAGTATGTAACTACACGGAAGCAAACAACTTTCAGTCGCCGACTCCAGTCAGCGAATTCCGACAGCTCCTCCTGTGATGCACACTGAATGTACAACTACTTTTCAGTGTCATGATCTACCATCAAATTGGTGACGTTTCTTGGGCCCACCACTAGACCCGATGCTAGTCGACATTTTCATGAGTAAACTTAAAAGTGTCCCCTTAAAAGCTAGTATACAGAATATGCAATACTATTTCGCTGTTGGTGATAATAAAGCCGAATTGGAATTATTCCAACAACAGTTAAATAAAGTCCACACACTTCACTTCGGAAGGAGAAACCGACAACTTCATCCACTTCCAAGATGTTGGCCCTGAACGACGTCACGATGGTACACTGAAACGATTGGTTTACCGAAAACCTACTTGGTTCGGACAATACACTAAACTAAGCACCTTCGTGCCACTAAAGCAGAAACGGAACAATCCACCCTTGATAGCTTCTTTAACATAAACCTCAACTGTGCGTGTGTCCGAGTAGAAGTAGCCCGAGGAGTAAAGTCATACCGTATGCTGCAAAAACAGCTTCATCGAATAGTGTGGTTCTTAAGTCGTTGGCAGATATGGATATCGCTCTTATGCCATGAATGACCCATGATGGTGACGCCAGCACCAAAACCTACTCCATGTATGACACGCCCAGATGTTACGAGTAGCTTCCGCACAAGTAGAACTACGTCCAACATAGTTTCATCTTACAGTCGCACCACTTACTGTTTCCAAGACGACATAATCACGTGCAAACCTAATCCGACCTAAAAGTGTTTGATGTTTGGAGACACTACAAGATATGGCTGCCAACCAATGTCAGTGGCGTTCTTGTTGTCAGTTTCTGTCCAGATTGCCTGAGTGAATGTCTGGAGGTGTAGGCACCTCGGAATGGTTGTGTTAAGCTAGCACTAAGTCCCTCCCCCATCCACCTTTATTCTTTTCTTTACAATAAAGCTTTCAAATAAGTCATGGCTGTACGGCAGTGAAGCATTGGTGTTGAGCACTGATGTCATGCTGTTGTTGATGATTGATGATGATGATGATGATGTGTACACAACGACTTAACACTATTCATATGGAATATATATTTAGAATTCACAGCGCCAACCAGAAAAAAATTTCCAGGCTTCGTGGTAATTCACAGTTCCTTATAATGACATTCATTTGTGGCAACAGCATGATTCAAAAGTTCGGAGTGAAATTACAGTAGTTGAACTGGTTATGGGAAACGTATGTGCAAGGGATTATTTCATTTAAGTTGCGCTCTATCTAATTGGCAATGGAAGAAAAGCATCTCTGATTTACTCACGCGATATGGCTTCTAACCATTCAGCGTGAAGTTTTGAATTGTTCGCGCGAGTACTCCCCATCACTAGTTACGCCGAGTTTGGACACTAGTTAGAACGACGAATTCAGTGGATTTTAATTGTATCCGAATAACCTGTAAAAGTTAAAAACAGTCTGTGGGAACAGACTGTGATGTAGATTATGAGTAAGTGTACACACTCGAAGTATCATGAGAGAGTAGTTGTATCCCTATGTGTATAGTGGTTATCAAAATAGTCCTTTTTATGAACCGGATCTTTCCATGAAGCTCTATCACAAGTCAGAGGGCTCAGCCACAGCATAAAATCGTTTAGCTTTAGAGTAAAAGTATTTCATTTGGGATGTTATGGAAAGTCATTTAGAAATCAGTAGTAGCAGCTGTAAAAACCGCATATTTGCTGTACAGTGGTTATAAGTGCAACATTTTCGTTCACCGATGATCCGGGGAGGTGGGATAGATAGCTGATAGCGGTAACTCATATAGTTGTGCGTTAAACCAGAGCTATCAGTGAACTCGACATCCAGGAGATCGAAAGGAGCTATGCGTTGAAGGCAACAGCTCGAATACGCGAGCATTCCAACCAGGGCGTTACTGGGCTATGTCTGACTGTTCCTAAACATTAATGTTTCTCTTCTTGGGGTCCCCATTTAGGGAGACAGCAATAACTGGGACAGCTTCTGGCTGCCCAAACAAATCACTTACAGTTGCGTCTATGAACCTTGAAAATGACACCTGAAACCAGCATTTGAGTCTCCGTTTCTGCTCACATGAATAGTTCAAACTTTGATGGGGAAGAGCATCTGCTATGCTGGTGGAATAACTAGTTTGCTCAGATGATGAGCTATGAATAGAGGAAGACATTGGAGAGCATCAAAGTAAATCTTCATTGATGGAAAGACCAACAACGTAGAGACTACTCAAATTAGACGGTTCGTCAATTTTACACAAGGCTCAAATTCAAACCAAAGTTAGGTTGTCAGAGAGCCTCACCGGCTCAATTTAGCATAAGTCAGCATAAAAGAGAGCCACTGAAATGAAGTCACCGAACTAGCTTGCCTCATCAGCCAGGTTTTCATTCCAATCAAACTGACAGTCATATTTGTAGGACTTTTTCTCCATTATACGCCAAAACAAACCGCGGAGATATTTGTACTTTGGTTCTTCTTCAAACGCAAGGTTTCGGCAATAGTTCAGGTATTTAGCGAATTCCTCAGGCAACCCTTGACAAAGAGTTTCTGTGCGCATGCTCAGTTTTGTCTTATATATTTTTCGAAATTTTTCACGTTTACTGTCGGCTTGTAACCCTTGCCACGGAAGACTCCCTCTGATAAAATAGAGGAAAACGTAACCAAGCGATTCCAGGTCATCCCGTCTGGATTGCTCGTAACCGGCATGGGCATTGATACTGCAATATCGGGCCGTTCCAGTCAGGTTTCGAAAGTCGCGAAATGCGCAATGCTCTTTTGTTTTTGGATCCATGTAGTATTTTGACAACCCGAAATCAATCACGTAAACTGTGTTGAAATTAGCCCCAACACCCATGACGAAATTGTCCGGCTTTATATCACGGTGAATCAGACAGTTCCGATGAAGGGTCTCAATCCGTTTTATCATTTGATCTGCCAGCATTGCCACGGTTTTTAAAGAGAACTTGCATTCACAGTAGACATGCAAGTCTTCTAGGCTTGGCCCCAAGTACTCCATGACCAAAGCTGTGTATAAGTTCTGAACGCCATCTCGCCCGAACCAGTAAATTTTGGTTATTCCGGGATTGTTACTGAGTGCCCTCAGGAGATGAAATTCCGTTTGTAGTTGCACTGGTATACCAGATTTATACACCTCTAACTTCACTGCAGCTTGCTCATTTGTTTTTTTGTGGGCAGCCAGAAATATTTCACCAAAGGACCCGGCACCAATGCGTTTTATCAGGCGCCATTCTCGGTTGACTACGAATTCCGACAAGCTATCGTACGACCCATCATTACTTTCAGCTACTGATTTGGTAGATTTCATCGGTACGCTCTGGTTTAGGCATTATATTCCAACTCATTTGACATCTCCGACGTTGCGCGACGTAGACTGAAGGATATGATCGGCTGGCGTATTAATGCATGACAGTAGGCTATTGGTCGAAACAAGCCGGCTATTCGAAATGTCCAGTGATTAAAATCGATAAACCACTCATCCCTCTGGCGTCAGCATTTTCAGTACACGGTAATACTACGGGGAAACCCGTTTGTTGTTGCACTGCAAAAGTAAAGCCAGCAGTGTGCGAATATCCTAAATTGGATAAAATCTCCTGAGATCTGTCTTGTACAATAGGCAGTGAAAACGTGACCCATTTGAGACGAAACTTTTCGTTGGAATTTCCTGCATAGAACAGACTGCAGTCAGTCATTTACTTAGACGGTCAGCCGCAAAGAATTGTGGAGCCACTCCAATTGGCCTTACTTTTAAGAGTAACAATTGACTAAAATAACTTTTTATGCCATGAATCAGCCATACGGTTCTTCTCAAAAAGACCTTAAAATATCTAGCGTGATGGAAAATAAGCGGTCAGGTTCTTATCACTTATCTCTTTCCAACCTGCAAGCTCATTCTATGACTATTCGTACAGAATAAAACAACCCTTCGGCAACTATATAAGGTTGTCAGAATAACGCAGAATCCCGCTTGCTGGAGCTACACATCATCCTTTGAGTATTGAGAACAACCTTTTAACAGTATAGACCATACGTAGCCGAATAACGGCTCTGGTCGTGTCACCTAACCGGACCAATTTATTAGTGTCAGGTTACGGTTCAAAACAGCTGAGGCACACTCACCGTTTAGTGAACTTCTCTTGTCATTCTATATAGCCGCTCGATCTTTAAGAAAAATCCTGTAGTATTGGGTGCTCTCAGATTTGCACGTGATGCTTCTGATGGCCAGTCTATTTGCACGATTTTCTGTGGTTATCTTGAGTTAACTGACATATCCCACAACTCTGTCAGAAAGTGCAGAGTTTATGGTTCATATCATAGTATTCATAAAATCAATAGGATAGAAACTGGAAGAATTGTGGGAAGACCACTGGTGAAATCAGGATTATTGTACGTCGACCGACAGGAAAGGCACATGGCCCACTCAAAAACTAGTAATCGAATATGAAGGTGATCTTTGAGTTCGAAACCCTATCTGGAAGCATGTCACCCCGGATCGGATGAAACATCACAATACTGGACAGCGGTGCTTCAGTCTTTCATGACAAACACACAACCCAAGCATACCTTCCAACGTGAAACTATGTGTAAACTGGACACTGAAACCATACAGTGCAGTAAGTGCGTCAGTTTTTTTTAGATGATCATAGTGATATCTACACTGCACTTAATCTGAATATGCAGTGACGTGACACTAAAAATTAAGTGAATTTTCAAACGAGATTTAAACAGATTTGGTTCCGTGTGTTGTTTGGCTGAATGCATGCAGCACGCTGCAATTTATCGTTCAGTGAGGTCACCGCAACGGTAGTCGTTAAGACGTAGTTTGAACTTGGCAACAGTTTTTGTCCCACAGCTACTACTGAAAGGATGGGTTGAGACTCCCCAAGAGGAGAGTACAGGAACCACGGCGTGTCAATACCAGAATAGCTGTCGACATTAGCTGTAAAAACGCAGGCCCTTGGCTTTCAAACAAATGATATTGTTAGAACCCGATTGGTCGATTGTAGTTCCGTACATCGCACTTTTGGTCGACATTTTATGCACAACGTTGCCTCAGAAAGCCAGCTGAAGGTTGATTGCAGACACAGGCAGGCCAAATCCTTAGTTTTCCCTCAATCAGCTTCGCTTCGTCAGTCTTTGAAGATCGTTAAATCTTGATAGAAAAATCCGAGTATGGTTTTAAGCCAAATTTCCACTCGGTCTTCAAAGCTATATGAAATTAGAATATGTTAAAACATGAAATCCTTTGACCATCGATGCGAATTCCATACATCCCACTTGATGCCTTTAAGTGTGGTGAGATATCTTGTGGCCAGAGTTGACATCAGTTGCTCTTATCAGTGTCACCTCTTTTCGGCGCACCCTTGCGCACGCAGGTTTATTTTCACATAGTGTAAACTCTTAAAAAATAGAAAGTTATGTGACTGACTGGTGATTAGCCATAGAGTTCCCAGACTTTCCAAAGTAATAAGACCGAAAGTAACCGGCTCACTTAACCCATTTAGTACAAAAATTATTTTTCAGGTGTTCTGCTATTCATAAAAGGTTCACAGTGATGGTCGTCTTAAAGCTGCCATTGAAACTAATTTTTACAGAAGAAAAAAATAAATTGAGGTCCTCTGTGTACACCTCTTTCGAATATAAACACCTCAGATGTTTCTCTTGTTTGCTGGGGTGATTTTGTGCATGAATTACTCATCTTCAATTTTACTATGTTTGTGATAAAAGCGACAGGTGTATGAGATAGCGTCCAGTCTGTACAGTATACCTAATTGCCGCACTACGCACTACGGTGGGCGAAAACAAGGATTTCCAATTCCGACTTTCCAATGGGCGATTCCCAAATGAAAAAGCACGAGTTATCAGGGTTAGATACACAACCATGATTAGCTTTGTCCAACTGAGCCGACTGGTCACGAGAATCAACGCGGCTCGGACGCTCGATGATGCAGTGGTCTCTATTTCGCTCTTTATCGTGTTGCTTCGTCCCTGGCTGAGATACTGCCACAAACAGAAATTACAAAAATGCTATGCATCAAGGTGTGCACACGGGCCGCCCACTCACCTGCTTGTTCTTTAAGGTAGGTTGCAAATCCAAACGAAGTTTTCGTAAATCTCTTTTCAGATACTTTTTTGAGTAACCTCAGTGCTGAGAGTTTGATAAAACCTTGTAAGCCTAGTCAATATGTGTTTTTGTATCATCTCCGCAAGGCAGATAAAATTAGTTCCCAGTCCATCGTTGTAACCCAGATTTTTGAGCATTTGTAATGGCCGTAGAAAAATACATGTATGATATGATACTGATGGAGGTAAAGGGAACAGTTAGACAAAACCGTTTGACAAAACATCAGCCAATTAATATTTTCTTGTTTTTCAAGTACATACACATGTCACACCAACAGAGGACATGTGATTTCATGTCCACGCACTCACTGTGTGCCGTGACACTGTGCCACACTGTGGCACACACCTGCCTGACCGAAAAAGGAAAATTCCAGGCTTCATAACTTGTGTGTCTACCACTGGAATTCAACTGCCGTTGCTCTGTGACGTTATGGCCCCACACGTAAAATCTGTATTCATAGGACCATTGTAAAGTGAATCGAAATGGTCGAGTGAATTTTACAGCATACCAGTTGAACCTGTCCCAATGACCGAAGTTTAGACTGGCTGTATTTGACCTGAGAGAATTTCAGCAAACCTTCAGTATACAGGTTCAGTAGGACATCGCAGGACGACTCGAGGGAACATGCCATTTATCTTCATACGCATACAATAGGTTAGTTGGTCTGTGCACACTGCTGGCTAATGGCACCCCATTGCAAGATTGGGCATAAAAACTCGGTCTGGAAATTTCGACTGTAGCATGGTGTTTTTTCAAATTCCTCCCCATTTCGGTATGCCCATGAACCGTCATTTAAAGCCACAGTGTTTGGTATGACAACTACTTAACCAATGTACATTATGCTGCGCCAGACCGTTTTACTTAGAAGAGGAAATGTAGTTTCGGCTTTGTTGAACAACCATGAATGAATGCTAAATATGGAGTGACCACGATACCTTATTTTGAGAAACTCACCTAAAACCCTTTGGGTGGATACATCCAAAACGATCGAATGAGTGCAAAATGTATTTAAATGCAGCTCCATAGTAACCAGTAAAGAATGCTTCATCAGTGACGGTTTGGCATTATGGCTTTCGTTTCTAGTCGGTCGTTGTGAAAACTTGGCTCCTGTGTCATCATGACTTGGTTCCTGGCAGAACTGACCTTTGACCTTCTCCGATAGCTTTTCGTGGAAACTTGCTTTCCGTAAGGTCTCTCACTTTGGGTGGAACTTGAACTGTCAAAAGAACATCCGTTGTGAGTAACTTTCTGGCCATGATAAGCCAGTGGTGAGTTTTGACTAGTAGTTGGCTGAAGATAAAGGGAAAATTGTCTGCAATTAAGCACGCCGAGGGAGGGGCAATGTACATGTGCTGAAAACAAAAAGAACTTCAGAGTCAGCGGTAGCAAGACAACCAAAAGGAATTTCAATTGAAATTCTGGGTACTATGCAAGCATTCACTAGTTCAAGACCCTTTATGAGGTTGGAGGGTACAAACATCCTAGCAGCGCAAGTAGTCATTGATAGGTTCGGGTTGGACTGAGGTGAAATTGTGTATAAGTGCTGATCATTCTGCCGCAGAGTCTCTGTTCACAGAAGCCCAGCTTGTAGACAATACAGACGATGTACTGAAAGTCAGATACAAACGCAACATATAAATTTGAGTTTTTCACGGAGAATTCCATACTCAAGCGGATATGGATGCAAGATGGATGATATAATGGGTGACCAACCGAAAGTCTGTATTGAGGATCTAAAGGAGAACAGGGAAGAACGCTGTTCATCAGTTTTTCCATTCAACCATTTAGAACGTGAACTGTGTGAATTACGTTTCAGTTTTTTTGTTTTCAACCCTTCCATTTGCAAACAAGTGATTGTCTCCATGTGTATCCGCTGGAAATTTGGAGGCTGGGCCTAACTGGTCAGTTTAGGCTGTTTCAGGCCATGATAGCTACGCGCACGAATTTGCTAGTACTAACGAAAACCAGCTGCATTTCGGGAATATCCCTGTCCACAGATCCTTCGCCCGCGGAGATCACGTCCTGCAACCATACAAGGATGATTGATCCTAACTGATGATGGTACGTGTGACTCTAATTGCAGTGTGTCCGCTACTGCTTAGGTAGTACCACACACACTATATGAGCCGAGAAATAAGATAAATCAAAGGCGTCAACCATCGACCTATTAAAGTTCCACGCCCAAACAGATAAGCATCATTCGCCCAAGTAAACAGAGCCCATGGAAGCTGGACTCGCCATTTCACACTTGTTTTCTTTCTTTGTATAGTTTCGAAGAGTGAGTACGCCAATACAGCAGCCTATTGTTAGTGAAACCCAGGGAACCAAACTGGTTTTCAACCACTATCTAGTCTACTTGAAATAGTTTATCGTGGATCCAGTCTAATTATCAGTAGCCAAATTTGTTATTTAAGAAGAAGTAAGTAAGTAAGAAGTAAGTGAGAAGTAAGAACTAAGTAAGAAGTAATGTGCAAGTCAATCATATAAACAATATTCATAATATCCTAGGGCGACTGCTCTCTTTAACTCACTCGAAAAAGAAACACAGGTCCTGAAATTCCGTTCTGTTAGAGCTCATCATAAATGTAATTCCTCATACCTGCTGGATTTTTACTCTGAACCCTCTGAATTTGGAGAAAGCAGATTTGATAGCCCCTAAATCTGAGCATGCTGAATGTGTCTAAATCAGCTCCTTGTGACATGCTTGTCTTATAGAATCATGCTGGTTCGTACGATGCCTCAAATCCACACCTAGTAGTTGTCCTCCTCGTTTCAATCTGCGAGTTACAGTCAGACTGCCTGTTCCATATTACACTCCATTGCACTACTGAGTTGTTTTTATGACCGAATTTCAAATTCTCTTTGGTTATGGTTGGTAGCAGATGGTTAAATTGATATAGGAACACATCAGTATACACGAGCAGTTTCGTTCGCTCAAATGGGTTTTTGGGTATTAGTGTGTAGTTAGAAGTGATGGTTCTCTTTATCAAACTTCCCCCTGAATGAGACAGGTTCGTTCCTCTCGTCAATAAGATCTACCTTATGACCAGCTTCTCTAATCGAAAACTAGTAGTGACGACAAAGAAAGGGGTTCTACATCACCGTTGGACACGTGTTGCACATTGCATGTTGGGAACGTTCATTGCCCGCCCCTATCGTTCACTGCCGACACCAACGGCGTGGATTCGTGTGCTTCTATGTGACAGACTCATCGCTATAACCCTTGCCAGAATTTTGTTTTGTCGAACCAAACGATCAGTCTGTCCTCGGCCTCTAACTGCGTAACTCAAGAGACATACTTCCTTATCAATTCCTTATTTTCCACTGAGTTCATTATCTCACATATGGGATGTAATTTTTCAGCGCAATCATGACTTCATCGAGATACCTTGCAAGTGTTATCAACCCACACCTTTGTCAACGAATCGCAAGCGTACTGTGGATAGCGTCACCGATGCATTTCTTTCGATCCTATCAACCATTTTTTTCTGCTTCTATGTCGTTCAGAGCGGAGTTTTGAACCCTGTGCTTTCGTGGCATGTTCAGCTCCAGTCCCCCAAATCAACCTAGTGATCGTTGTCTGGCCCTCCTCTCTAACTGCTGGTTCGACGTTTTCTTACTGTTTGCCATCTTCGAAACCGGTAACCGTATTTCAGTAAAATGTCTCGTTATAAGATACGTCGGGCCATCACGTGTACTGCAAGCGAGTGGTTCGGGTACTACCGATCGGGCATACTCGGGGATACAAGACTGACAAACCGAGGGGAGCTGCCTTCTCCGTACCGGGATCAACGACTACCTCTCTGACCTGCCAACAGCTGTCCGAGAAGCACAGCTGATTCCGCGCAATCCTAAAGGTTTGGTTTCATATCGACCGAACTTATCGTCTACCCGGACTTTCTCAACCTAAGACTTATGGCCATGAGGCAACACAGCTAGCGGACAGGATCGCAAGGGTGAATCATGCTGTCTTCGAGCTCATCGATATCCATCCAGTACAGCCTACTTCCTATTCAACAGAATGGCGGATGAGAGCTCAGGTTCAAACATCCAGACCGAATCAAACGGTCCATGTCGTGATTCTGGGTCCTCGAGCTGTTGTCCCGATCAGCTTGCCTATTGACCAAAGCTTATTGTCCACTGGCTGCGGCATGGTGTGAAATCGTGTGGAGTTAAAGCATTTTAATATCTTTGGATCATTCTGCTTAACCGTGCTTTTCCTTAGAACTTCACTTGATCAATGTTATCGCATTTGGAACTATGCCGGTATGTACCAAAAGCGAATTATGCCATAGAGAGGAAGGATGTCTTACTTTCGACTCACAGTTGTGGGTGGTAGGAAACGCATTGTCACCCAGAGCTTTGTACCGGGTTTGGGCTTTATATGTTTGTAAAGAGGGTTCGTGCAACAGGTGAACAGTACAAGTAGCTACACTTCGCTTTCGTTTAGGGATGTGATGCACTGCTTGTGGTAAATGTCACACATTTCAACCGTTGGTCAGTAATGACACACTCTTCTCAGCACATGTCTGACTATCTCAGTTGGGTTATTAAGAAAATAATGGTGGCTTTTGTAATCTGCGCCTATCCAACTTTGCGACGTGCGATGCACCATCTATTCTGTCGTTGACTAAGCTAGCAGCGACTTACTGACGCAAAATGATTGTCGGATTTTCTGAAGTAAATTTACATAAAAGTGATCAGTGTGGTGTCATGCATGGGACCAGTGGCGGGTGAAGTGTAACTGTAGTGCAGTTTCACTGTAGCGTAAGTTATTCACCATGATAGGTTTTATTTTTGTACTCCGAAATGCTGCTTTTTGCTGAGCTGCACTTGACCCTGTACAGAATGGCCCATTTATGAACTTCTGACATCGTGAATATTCACAGGGGTTTGCTGCTTTGCCTATTTACTATGGATTTTGAATTAATATTCTGATAAGATTTGGAGCTCTTTTAGCAGTTATTCTCAACGTCTGTGATTTAAGCAATCCCAATTTCATTTATGCACTCATGGTGTCGCATCTTTGGCCTTTACTCATTGCGTGCGACTAGAGGGGAATCCCTTCACTACTGGTTTTATTCTAAGAATGCAGCTAAATTTGATTGAGCAGTGGTATGGATTAATTGACCATTTGCGATCGTACGATGCTTTGGCAAACGGATGCCGAGTCAATTGGGATGTTCCCGTGATGTCGTAAGAAGCTAATCATGCTGTACATACAGGATAACCGGTATCTTGGTCTACCTGAAAATGGGACACTTACTGAATTAACCGTTCCCCTTACTTTATTCGATCAAGAAACAGAAGATATCGTTTGCAGCGAAAAAAAACATGCAAAACCAACCTGCACGATGGATTTACGTGGATCACCAGGATCACGTGTGACTTCATCGTCCAATTGCATTTTCCCTGCTGCTGTTCTTACCGCATCACACGCGGCCTGTACTTCGGCCCGCAGGCGCTGATTCGCAATCTTCAAAGAAGCCACTCTCGACTCCAACCGTGGAAAAACATGCCAACCTGCACGATGGATTTACGTGGATCACCAGGATCACGTGTGACTTCATCGTCCAATTGCATTTTCCCTGCTGCTGTTCTTACCGCATCACACGCGGCCTGTACTTCGGCCCGCAGGCGCTGATTCGCAATCTTCAAAGAAGCCACTCTCGACTCCAACCGTGGGTCTGCGGTGAGATTAGTGTATTTTCGTGTCCAGGAACTTCGGAAATACTGTGGTGAATACCTTGTAAAATTGGAGTGGTTTGTGAGTTGTAAGCAACCGACAACACGACTTATGTAGGTATGAACGAGTTTGAGAAATACGTAACAGCGCTGTCTGGGCGTTTGTGAGCCGAAAATATTGAAGCTGTTGGTCGGTACACTAAAATCAGCTATTCGGAGCACCGACGAACATTCATGGGATGCCATTCTGTATGTATCAGCTCAACTCCCAATAGATTTATTCATAAAGTCCCACACAAACATACCACCCATCAGTTGCGGCACTTAACGGAAATTCTAATGACCGCTGTTTCTGAGCTGCATAATCACATTCAGTTTAGATGACAGCCTTTTCTTTGGCAGGAAAAGCAACTAAAGTGTTTGCTCCCTTGACCCCGACACATACAGCATTGCCAACCTACGCAAGAGTCCTGCCATACTAATTCTGACCGTTTGGACGACTTTTTTAAAAATAAAATCGCATCGTTTTGGAGTCAAACAGAAAAGCATACGGTTCTCGTAGAACTATCTGAAACCGCGGCGTGTCCTCACTGACCAGGTTAACGGATTGTAGCTCTCCGACCATTTTCCCGTTGGAGGTTTGAGGATATGCAAATCAAATCTAAGACTCGGGTAATAAATCGTTATGGGTTCTGTCACTATGAGAATACGAGTGTAGTTATACACTCTGTTGTTTGGAAGGTACATTTTTGGAGAGGTGTTCTCAAGTTGCACTTGATTTTTAGGATCCTCAAGAATAAAAATAACTAGTGTTTTGTCGATCCTTCAGGGTGGCCGGTTTGTGAGCAGAACAACAGCGAATTAGAAAAATGGTAATTATTTCTAAAAAAAACGCCACAAATGATCAGCTTAGAGGAATCTCTAAAGTAGGCTCTATGGACTCTTCGAATGGTCTTGTATCCAGTCTGCTGTTCATGCTCATCTCGTGTTTCACTTTCCTTTCAGATGGTCTTCCTCAGACTCAATATCAAGTCAGGTACACTAATTAAGGCCAACGGATGAACCTGTTTCAATGATGTCTTATTGGTCACTTCTGACTCTAGAACCAGTAGAAGGGTTCTTCAATTCATGTTTAGGTATGAACTCACTGTGGGGTTTTCAAGCTGTCCAAAACCAGACCAAATTTCCGGCGTGTCCATATTTTTTCATTATTTCGTTGGAAAAATAGTGTTTGTACTTATTCTAAAGAAAAAGATTATCTGGTAACCGGTCTCCAAGTTGAGCATATAACAATGAGTGACTAATCATGATTTGCATCCATTTCGGGTGGAACCAGTCAAATTGGAGTGGCTATTGGGGCATGATAAATCACCCTGTGTTTGTCACTGTGATTCAAAACTGCATGAACTAGGGCATAACCGATCTATCGATTTACCCTCAAGAAATATTAAGTGTCCAGTCCTCAGAAATAAGACATCCCTGACGATATTATCGTATGATCTTAGAACATTCGGCTGTATCACTGGCTATACAACTGAGTTTCTAGTGAAGGTTGAGTTCACCTTACTTCGAACTGAACCCTAGCGTTGAGTCTACATCCGATGTGGCATCTCACGACTTGTTGCATTAATCACAGGCCACGTGTCTTTGCCCATGAACCGAATGTTCATTTGTCAACCTCACTGATGCAGAACCAGGGATATGTAGCACAAGCAATCATTAGAGCTATGGAGCACTCTGGTTCATCACAGGTGGACGGGAATCAATTACCATGCCACATACTTTTCCATTTTCCAGTTTTTTTGAAAATGGAACTCTAACTCTCCTCAACGGAGGAGAGAAATGTTTTAGTCCTCTCTGAAGTCATGATATTTTTTCCTTAATAGTAAGCTCGCAGAGGCAAAAAAAAGTTGCCTGTATAAGAGAATATTCCTTATCCAGCCAATGTAACTGAGAGACGTCGCTGTATTTTATTTCCTTATATTAATTGAACATTGAGCTCTTGCAGCAGAATCTCACACTTATCCAGTGGTTTTCAGACAGCTTGTGGCACTGATTTCATTGGATCATGGCCCAGTCGGCGCTGGCATTAACTCTCCAAGTTCTGACATAAGTTTTGGGTAGCAAGGTTTGAATTCAACTTTGTGGTGCAAAATGTATCATTGATACTTTCGATAGTTGTATCCGTACTTTGGGCGAGTACAACTATTGACAATTGGGTCTGAGCGAATTATGCTTGGGCGACTGCACCACATTGCTCCATTGTAGTGTAAGTAATCTATTCTTCTTATCTAGCGTATTAAGTAGTACAAAACATTAAAAGTTTCGTATGCGGTGCGGCACCTTTCATACGGTATCCTGAATCCTACGAGTACTTACCTAGTGAGTTCTTCCGAACCTGTCCATTCATCAGAATCCGACATCAGCTTGATTGCGGCCTGCTCGATTGGCTCGCGATTGGCTTTACAACTGTCTTGGCTATATCCGTCGCTTTTCACTGCACTCCTGGAGAAACCGTTTAGGATACATTACGCAGGCGATAACTTACGTGTGGTTTTGGAGTAGCTGAGCCAGTTCCTCAGCTTTCTGATCCAACTTACTTTCCAAGGCAACTTTAGTCTTCCTAATATGGGAGTATTAAAGAACAGTTAATTTTCCGCTTAAATGAATATAGAGCTCACAAAAATGTCGGCAACCGGATAAAGTCTAAGAAAACTCCTTCAAAGTGTGCTAAGATAACTGCCTTTCGATCACACTACATATCTTTCTGGGCTCTTAGTGTTTATTGTACCCAATGGCCTGTCGGGTAAATCTACTCAACTTAGCTGAGAAGTGCCTAACTGTGTGTAACGAAGCATTGTTGCTAAGCTCTCTGGCAATATTTTCCCTACTGTGTGGTACTTAGAAAACGTGAGGTGACAGGTAAATGTCTTTCGATAATGTTACCTAGTGTTCACTACAGCTGCTTAGGGGAAAAGTAATTTCATCATAAGAAAGAGATCCATAGTCCAGAAGATAAAACGCAGCTATAAGGTATAAACGTCGACAAAGGATAGGCTAGTTTATTGATGTAAGCATTGTGCAATCCCTTCAAGAGAGTCCAATCAGCCGTGCGGTCAGCTTGTTACAGAAGTTGTGGTTGTGTTCTACACTTTGGGTGGTTTTGCGAGTGGTCTAACCATAGCGTACATCAGTGCTCCCTAAGACAGGACACAGAGAGTGTATTCACGCCTTTTTGAGCATTTACTGGCAGCCACTCGATAAATTAACCAGAAAAGGGTAACCAAATTTACTTAAGAAGCTTCGAAATAAATTTTTTTGTTGCAATGGTATTCAGGCATTAGGTTACTAAAATATCGCCTTTAAATTAAACAGAATAAAAAGATCCTTTTGGGAAGAGCCAGTCCAATGTTATTGACAAATTACTTGTTATTTTCACTGCCACTAGGCAAAATAATATCCCTTGTAAGGATGAAGAGAATCATAGGATTCGCTTAAATATGCCAAATTTCACTCATTATTAGACACACTGAATTCATATTCAATCTTTGTCCCCAATAATTCTACTTTTTTGTGGTTGCGAGAATCATCTCGCCTATTGAAATCATATTATCACCACTGCCTTAGACTTCTTGACTGGCACTTAAAAATCGTAAGAATGTCTTGCATATACCATATAGATGACTGAACCAAAAGAATTCTACCAAGGTTCATGATGGGTTTCTGAAACAACCTCAGCTCATTTTAACTATATACTTGCCAAAGATTTTATGTGAAACTATACGTGAGGTTGTCTTTTAACAGCGCTTTGTTCGCCGGATTTACTCCCAACTTTCCTAAGGAACCAGAATACACAAACTCACTTGTGTTTCTCCACTTCCTCCTCAAAACTTTCTCTTAATCTGTTCAATTGTTCCCTTAGTGAATTTCGTTCATTCCTCGTCTCATCCAGCAAATTCCATAGATTTTTCTTCTCACGTTCAAGAGCTTCCACAGCGGTCTGTAGAGCTGTGTGCTCCTCGAGCTATCGAATAAATAAAATGGTTATACGGAAATTTTTCAAGAGGCGCTGGAAAGCAGTCTTTGTGCTTGGGATAAATCCCGTTTTAATGAACACCTTGATGTGCAAGTAGATACTTATTGTTTGCAAAAGTACTGTACTACGTAAATTTGGATGTCAGGGCAGTTTGTGTTGTTTCTAGTTTTCACCAATACTGGCTCCTGTATTGTCACACTTGTCTGTCGGGCTGGTGCACTAGCAGTTTTGATCCTCTCTAGCTTTTAAACTCGTGGGTCATAAGGACATACAGAAAATACAAAAAATTTACAAAGTCTGTACTTGCTGCAAAAGTTGAACGGAAATTAATCACAAAAATGAAGCTCAGATACTCACCGTCCACACACCTAAAGAAACCAGCCAAACGACACAGTGCCCTTTGTCGCGCCTCTCGCTCCCTCAAGGTACGTCACTGTATTTTCCTAGTTTTGTCTCAAATGGCACCTATTGTTGGCTTTCCGTTCACTATTGGTGAAGTCGTGGCAAAAACGTGGTTGGTTCTATAGGTTTGTCGCGGGACGCTTGTCCGGAAGATTTTCAGCAAATTTAACTCACTTTTGACTCCGAATTCAAATACGGGATCCCGTTAATTTTGCACACCTCCAATTCGGCCTCAAGTTGCTTCACTTTTGTGTTGGCGTCGTTCCACTTGTCCTCCATCTGTTGCAACTTCTCATGTAGACTGGACTGCGTGGTTTCCAAATCACTTTCGTGCTGTCGCCGCATCCGATCGATTTCCAACTTGGACTGTCTCAGTTCATCCACCCGAGCTGCTAGCTCACCTTGTAAGTGATTGACCAATTCTTGCAAATGAGCCCTTTCGGTCTACAAAAAAAAACCGATCAGGACAGTTTGTCAACACCAAATGCCATTTTATTTCACACGAGATTAATCGAGTTGTAGCGGATACTTACAAATTACTTCACTGCAATCATTGACGAAGTACTGGAAAGTGGTTTATCAATGAATTGGAGAAGTTTGGAACCGATTAATAAGTCATCGTTTTAGAAGAGCTTGGTAAACAAGCGAATGTTTACCAAGCTCTTCTGAAACGATGGTCTATTAATGATTTGACCAAATTCCAGCTGGGGACCTTCATGACTAGCATCTAGCGCGCTTTGGCTTCTCACGAGCAGCTACATAAACAAGCTAGGTGCTAGTATTATGTTACAGATAGTCAAGTAAGTTGGACTAAGGAGACAAAATCCGAAATGAAACGTTCGGACCCGAGAAATAACTATTCGTTCAAACAACTTCCAAATTTTCGCATCTATAAGTCCTAATGTTTACGTGAGCCATTCTAGGTCGCTCTGGTTCACTGTAATTTGACAAGAGAATGCAAAGGGAGATCGTCGGAGGAAACTTTAATCTCGCCTCAAACCGAATAACTTCGGATTTCTGTGAGTGATAAATTAAACCATGATGCAATATCTGTGTTCGTCTATGCATATTTCGGTTGAACTTAGAGCGAGCTTTTGTTTCCGAGAATTTTAGGCGGAGGTACTCACATGCCAAACAGCAACATTCTGATTAGGGGAGATTTTCTTATTCGAATGTCCACCACTTGATACAGCCAGCCACTATACAGCCGTTTCTTAGAGCGAGTAGCAACGGTGATATGGATAGAAAGATTCTCCATCCTCAAGTCAGCTAGTCACTACGTACACGCAGACTTTTAAAAAGTGAAATTTGAAAAGGGTTCCGTCCTTACTTAGAACTAGAAAGTTATTCGAATGCGGACAAATTCACTTTGCAACTTAGCTGCATGTCATCAGACTTCAGACTCGTAATGTCTCGGCTAGGACCATGGAAATATGGTCGCAGTATCAGAGGGCAGAAAAAGCAACCTAAATACAGAGACTCAACAGATGATTCCTACCTAACCGCCCTTTCTGTTTATTCTGGCATACTTCTTCAAAAAAACGCGACAGTCGTAATGCGCGAAACCGGTTAACACAATTTCACAGTCAACAGTCGTTGACTCCACTACGATAACCTCGGCCAAGTGTCAAACGACTAAAGTAACTGGCGGTAAGGCAAGGTACCGAAACGGACTTCTGTAATTCATCTAAGGGGCACACTTACATGATTTCGGTGTAGCGTGCGGATGAAACTTCACCATTTTTCTAATGAGAATTTGGTTTAACTCAGGCTACTCTACGCAGAAGAGTCGATAAACCCTGTACAGCTCTTTCACTTTTTTATGAATCACCGGTAATGCACATCCCACGAAACTCAAGGGTGTTTCCGACCCTCAACATCCTGGCTAGTGGTTTGAACACTCAACCGTTCAGTCATGAGCGGTTGATCAGGGTTGTGACTGACTGGCATTTAGGCAAATCATCCCGAAATCGCGAAAACCACATCACACATTATGGGCATCCAAAATAATTAACATTATTCCATCTTGTCCTGAACAAAAGGAAACATAGAAAAAGAATACGTGAACTTCTAGCAGATAAACGGAAATTCATATTGCCGTCGAAAGAAAAAGACAAAACAGCATGTATGCAGCTGCAATGTTCTCACTGTCTACGAACGCTCCGTGATGATGGCATTATCTATTTCAACCTTTTTCCATTAGTCCCAAACATTCCACGGTAAACTCATCTTACCAAGTGGTGGCCAAGTGGCCTGTGGGGATAGTAGAGTCCCTTTGGTGTCTAGATGCCCACATTTTGAACTTGTGGGGAGGGTTGACCAGTTTGGAGCTCAAGATAAGCTGATGTCTCCTCTTAGCGTTTCAACATGTTCCACCAATGTTCCACTGGCAGAAACTAGCAAACTTATCCGCACTCTGGTCACCAATTTCAAACGTTAAACTGATTTGCCTATGTTCTCTTTTACCAGCCATGTGGACAGACAAACTTGTGTTGCAGTGGGATCGTCACTTGGTTCGTTACTTGTGGATGCGTTTATGGCATTACCAGAAAGGAAAGGAGTGAAAACGCCAGCACTGATACATAGCTGATATACTTTGTGCAGATGGCTTGGAACGGTTTCCAAACAGCTTCCATTTCGCAAATGCTAAAATAAAAAACGGAGNAAATAAAAAAACGGAGGAAAATGGGTGCACTGCCTTCTTGGATGTTGCCGGTTGTCTATCAGATGGACCAGTACATCGAAAGACGACCTAAGTCGTCTTTGTTTCACTGAAGGGAAGGCGTAACCTCGTGAGATACCTGACCTTGAGAGCTACACTATTGGATGAGCAGATGAAATTGAACTATGTACATGTAGGAAACAGTTATCGAGAGAAGTTTATTGGTATGCACCACAGACAAACATACTGTCAACATCAGCACGAAAGGCCTGGTTCTTAGCCTGACTTTAAATGGAGATTCGGCGACCGACGTATCAGTAAGTTGGTTGAACAACACTATGGAATTACTCCCAACGCTGCCCAAGTGTGCTGTTCATTCGGAAGCCGCCTCACCATCAGTCTGTATAACAAGGATAAATTGTCATATTCGGTAACCTGTCAGTTCAAGCGGATGTGTAACGTGTCTTGTGTTAATTGGATTTCAGGTCGTATTCGTAAGCACTACCTCACAGTGATACATGATCGCTCAGAGGCGCTAATGTAGCCCACCTGATGGGCAAGGGTCATCTGGAAGGTACTAACCAACTTGTACATAGAATCGCACCTGACCCTTCCAGAGCTGAGCGAACGCACACGACACGTAGCGGCCATCTGGTGAGTATTCAAAGCAATTCGTTTACCTCAAAACCTATCTTTTGGGTTTCCCTTCAACAGAGTTCTTTTTAAGTGTGCAACAACGCTGTCTGAATTAGCACTAAATTAAGGATTACCTGAGATGGATATATTCAATCTGGTTGACCAACTGTCTGCTCCTGAAATACCATCAAACATGCTGAAATGAATCTCCCTAAAGTAAAATGTTCAAATGAGAAGCCATAAAACATCTCAAATTTTTCTCACCTTAGATGTCATACTCGTCGCCTTGTACTCCATTAGTTGTTGTCTTAAATCCTTTAGTTGCTCCACGAGCTGAACTGAACGAATTCGATCGAGTGAAGGTTCGACAAAACTGGTCTTCTCCAATACTCGAGTCTGCTGCAACTCTTGGGTTCTCGTGTTTACTTGGTTTTCCAATAAGGAAAGTCTGGCTGTGTGCTGATTGTTCTGTTCCGTCGATTTGTGTAGCGAACACAAAGGACAAAATGGGACATGAAGGGGTGTTGAAGTGAGAAACAAACCATTTATCCAAAACAGGATATCAACTAAGCGGGTGCCAGTCGGCAAGTAAGCTCAGCGGAAGATCGGGAGTCAGGAGGCTAAAGTAGACATCGTGTTTGCTTTCAGAGGTTAAACATGCCTTTACTTCATGAGAGCTGTACCATCTGGTCATCGCACTCATTTATCAACTGCTGGACTTTTCACAATCTCGTTAGTGACATTGAACTTATCGTTTTTTTGAAACTCACTTCTGTTCTGTATATAAGGGAGTCGCGTTGTTATGCTCCAGAAACAGCCTAAGATAAAGTCTACTGAAGTTCACTGAGTTCGTGGCTGTTTCGGGAAGTATTTGCTAATGTGGTCTGAGGACTACTCACAACGAATTGGCTGTCGCGATGAAGTGTTCTGTTGAGGGACTAACAAGTCCGCCATATAAAAGAGAAAATAAGTGTACCATCCTCACAACGTACCTCCTCCTTGCACTTATCCAACCGCTTCTCGGACAGCTCCAGTTTTCGTCTCAGCTCAATTAGTTCAGCTTCTTTGTTGGTCAAGATTTCAGCAAGACTATCTGCCCGTAATTTGCTGGCCTCAAGGTCCCTCTTCAGAGAATGGGCGGCTGATTCCCTCTCGCGTAGACGGCCTGAAATTGCATCCTTCTCTCGAGATATGGTTTGCAAATCATTCTGATCAAGGATACAGTATTTAAAATGTGAAAAGTACAGTCAGTAAAACAGGGGTTATTTCACCACACTATAATAAATGATCTAGCGCTGAGAATATGGCCTTTTGTTGCTAATGTGTCCGTGACCCTCTACTTGTACACTTATCTCCTAACAAGTTTCCTTGAAAAAGGGCCAATTTCTAGCCAAAGAATGAGAGCTTTGCGCCAGACTCGAATAAAGCAATCACGATAGTAAGCAAATCATGTGAATCCTAGCAATGAAAAATGATAAGTACCTTTCATGGGCCACCCACGATCACTATTACCTTCTGGTCCGAAAAAAACCGGTTGTGAATCACCGCATCAAATATGCGGCGGGGAAAGTTAAAAGT